TGTTGCCCTTGGTAGAGTGCTGTGGCATTACAGCTCACAGCAATCTCAAACTCCTGGGCTCAAGTGATTCTCCTGCCTCCTCCTCCCAAGTAGCTGAGACTACAGGAGCCCACCATAGCACCCAGCTATTTTTTGTTGTTGGCATTGTGGTTTATCATGCCCCAGGCCGGGTTTGAACCGACCAGCACTGATGCGTGTAGTCAGCACCCTAAAAACTGAGCTATGGGCAAGCCTGCAAATGATATTGTAATTAGTTAAAGTTCAGGTGTCAGGTGACAGAGTTCACAAGCTGGACAAAGCAGTTCTTGCCTGCAGTTTTCAGCCCCCCTAGATAGCTCCTGCCTGAGGGTTGTTTACTTTAACACCGGCACCCAATTTTCAAGCCTCTGCATCCATCTTAGCCCTGTCTCCTAGTCCCTACTTTAACACTGAGAGTATGTAGCAGGTGATCAGCAAACCACAACACTGTTATCTTAAGATGCTTCATCTTGGTTAGCAGCACCACAGTCTTGCCTTACAAAAGCCAGCGACCTCAGAATTATCCTTGATACTTCCCGTATCCTCTCCCCACAGGGTCAATTAGGACAGAAGAGAATGGACTAAATTAGAAAACAGAGTGTATCATGAGTAATAATGGTAAGTATTGTTTGGTGAAGCTTGTTTTAGTTACAGACCTGTACCTGTAATAGCCAGAATGTGCAATGCATTTCTTTTCTCTGTTATACACATAGAGGTTGGAATAGAACTGGTATAAACAGCCATAGCTTGTTATGTTTATATACAGAAATTCTCTTTCATTAGAAAGGAATTTCATTCTTCTCAGAGTTATTTTCTTTCCCAGAATCACTCTGGAGCCAGTTTTTTGGCCTCCATGATAGTTTTCAGACTGTTATCCATTATTTCTGGGTTTGTTTGTTTGTTTAGAGACAGAGTCTTGCTCTGTCACCCAGGCCGGAGTGCAATAGTGTGATCATAGCTCACTGCAGCCTAGAACTCCTGAGCTCCAGTAATCCTCCTACTCAAGCCTCCCATATAGCT